GAACATAGAATTGGCTTCTCCAAGAGGTTTCTCTAAGAACCGTAACACAAAATACCCTGACATTGTCACAGGCAATACTGACAAGCTACACCTGGTATTGTAACTTCAGCTCCTGTGTAATGTGAACAAGAAAAGCCAAGTCCATGAGCCTTTTGGGATCACTTAGTACAGGAACAACCAGCCCATCCTTCTCCATGATGACTTTAAATGCTAAAACGTGTTCAAACAAAAGGCATAAGCAGGCCATATTTATGAATTATTGATGCAAAGGAAGAAGCTGTTGTAGGGAGAATAAATTTTTATTTTTTTATCGTTGAAAAGGCCTTTTTGTCTAACCCTATTTTGAAAGTGACCAAGCTGACAGGCTCGGAATTTCCTTCATTAGTAAACACTAGCGGCAATTTTAATAGGGATCCTTTGATACTGTATCAGAAAGCAACGATTTACAAATGTATGGTTGTGCATTACCCACCAACTGACGTTTTAAAACTTTTGTCAAAACCACACTCTTTCCATGTTTGTCTCATAAAATGCTATGAAATGAAAACTTTTAGTCCGATTTTAAAACGGTTCTTACCATTATAATCAACATACAAATATGAAGAAACATGGGGAAAACGTCCCGGCCGTATTAACACTAAACTTTGATTTCATGTAGAGGGCCGCAAAATATCGTCTTGCGGGTCACAAATGGCACGCGGCCCGCGAATTTGAGACCCCTGCATTAGAGGTTCATTTATTAATATTCACGATGATCTCATTTTTATAAAAAGGAATGTAAATATTGATACTTTCCCCCATTATTTTCGATATATGCAGAAATTATGCGTGAACGAATTTCAAAATATCTAAATAATTCAGTTTCTGCTTCGGCAGAAAAACTCATTAGGCTTTTGGCTTTGGATTTGGTTTTGGTCGAAAGTCATTTTTAACTTTCGGCCTAGTTTCGGCTTCGGGTGAAATCATAAAATCGCTTTCAGTCAATATCTAGGCAGAAGGTTTTTTTATCTCAAAGGGGAAAAAAATGAAATCTGTTTATGATAAAACAGTTTAACTTGTTGTTTCTTTCAATTTAGCTTTTTGTTTGTTGGTTGGTTTGTTTAACTTTTTTTAAAGGTGGTTTGTTGAAATTTGTCTTTTATCGTAAGGGTTCGATGAAATGAATATTTCATCTTTTAATTTAAGGGATTTTATGACAAGCGTTTTTCATCTTAGCGTATATAAATTGCCAATTTTCCATTTTAACTGTTTTAAATTTAATTGTTAAGAATTCTAGTTAAAGTATTTCATTAAAATTATAAAACTTAAAGTTGAGCTCACTGTCAGCTTTTCTGCTCTACTGGATTGGTCATTTCGTCAAGTTCTTTCACATGTTGAAAGACGTCGTACTAATATTGAATAAACTCAAGTCCTTATCACAATAAATGTAACTTTAACATCTTATTATCAACACAGGCTGTAAACTCAATAGACACATGAATGTAGTGCAGCTGGTTATCAGACAGACAGAATACACATCCTACTTTCACAAAGTTCCATTCACGACTGCTGCACGACTAAAACTAACTTACGACACAATCATGGGCGCCCGCAGGTAGGGGCAAGGGGCGGGGGCACTTGCCTCCCCCCCCTCTGAATTGATTGGATAAAAAATTTTAGACAAAAATAGACAAAAAAATGTATTAAAGTAAAGAGAAAATAAAGAGAAAGTAACTAAGCTGATGTCCTGTCCGTTCGTCCACCATACAAATACGCTACAGTAAATTAAAACTATATTAAAACATTACTAAAAATTTTTTGCCCCCCCCCCTGGAAAGTTAATCGATTTTTTTTGCCCCCCCTAGAAAGTTTTCTGCTGGCGCCCATGGACACAATATAGTCTTGACAATGAGCATAAAATTACGTCACAGAGTCAAGCGTGAGAATGGCGTTTACTAACTTTAAAAAACTCTCAAACTCACACAAAATATTCAGTCGTGACAATTATCAATGAACTCCGTTACTCGACACTCACTGAGGTCGCCCCCGACCCTCCCACTTCCGACACACTTTCTTCAGAAAATGTTACTGCTTTTCTTACACATACGTCAACATAGTACTGCCCTTGTAGGATTGCTGTTTTTTTAAAGTAAAACCGATATCTGGCCGATATCGTGGTCGTAGACGGAAATGGGCGCACGACGAAAGAAGCCACGTCCTTATTACTCTGGTTGTAGGAAACAGCGTCCACTGATATACCGCCATGGCGACAGCCGCGGTAATATTCTTGCTTGCGGGGGTCGTTCCGTAGAGCCAGGGGTGATCTGGGGAGTTCAAGCAGCCCGAGAAAAAAACAAAAAGCGGCCCTATCTTCATGAATGTTATTTTCCTTGTGCATTATTATATCAACGGTCCTGGAGGCCCATCGGGAATCTTCCCGGTGTCCCGGTGGCCCAGTCCACCCCTGCGTAGAGCCTTTTGAGGTGGACGACGGAAATCAGCCACCTACTGTGTCATCCATCGCGACCATTTCCTTTGTGTCAATCCAAAGGTCACAGCCGGTGGCCCATGATTTCATACCGCCTAGACGGGGCGTGACCAGATCATATCTAGAGGTTGATGATTGCCAGCCTGTTGTGAAGCCGCAATCATGGCAAGTCGGGGTGCTGTATTTCAACCCCCAGTCATGCAGGACCAAGACATTTTAGGTGTGTCATCTTATTTTAGATAGCAGGGCCGACCTTGTGTTCATTACCGAGACGTGGTTTAAACAAGTCGGAGATGAGGTCAAGCTGGAAGAGCATACACCTCCGGACTACGTCCTTCACTCTCGCCCAAGACAGTCGCGCAGTAGCGGTGGTATTGCTGTCCTTTACAGGAGCTCCCTCAAGAATAGTGTGGCGTTCTCAAAATTCGGACGAGTTTGTTTTATTTGAGATGTGCAAGATGTAACTTAATCATGGTGACAAAATGATGACGCTTCTGTGCATATACCGGTCACCTCCCAATAAGCGAACTAAGTTGAAGATCTGTCTGTTTTGTATTTTATTGCGCTTCTAATATGAAGCTTGCTTTGAAATAGAACTTTATTATTACTATGATTATTATCTTAACCTGGGATGGGGGGTGGTTGTGGCTCAATGTTAGAGGAACAAATGCGTCGAACGTTAGTTTTGGTGGGAGTTTCACTACTGGCATGTTTCGGTGCCTGTTGATAGCTTCTCCCGACCCCGACCCCCATCACAGGCCAACTCTGCTCCACTCCATTCGCTCGCACGAGCGATCCGTCCGATATTGGGTGTATGTTTTTCTTAGAAAACCACCCCCAAAAATGTGCATAGTGACTTGAAAGTTGGGACTAGGCTCCATACAAAATTCGTATCAAATGTACGACCTAAAATTTGATCGTGTGAAAGGAGCTTAAGATGCGAAATTCGAACCCACTTTTAGTTGTACACTTTTGTTTCTCAATATAATGTTTTGCGCACCATGTTCTGCACTGGTGTTTCAATGTGCGGCTTTCAGTAATGACATTAGTTTGAAAAAGGAAGCAGAAACTATGTAAACAGTGCTACACTATTTTCGTGGACCAAGACCGACTGTTTGTCTCGTATACACTACCCTGTCTAATCGATGGACCATTGGATGGACAAGTGACAGATCAGATCGTAGTGGTCAAATGTACATAAGCCAGTTTCTCTTTATGGGTGTTGTGTTCAACATCAAAGGCGTTGTCTTGCTTTAGGGTAAACTAAAGAAAGGGATCAAAACATATCGACGTAAATTAAGTTACTCTCTTTAAAATGTCGATTCCATGGCAGCCCCCCTCCCCCCCCCCTTTTTTCCAGTATTTTCCCACATCACTTTGATTTAGGGAAACAATTTCTATAAATTGTACTTTTAAGGACATCCTATTTAGTTAATTTCAGTTTCAATATCCTGATGTTGATTGTATCCAAATGTTTAAAATCTCAGTAAATTAAATAACTTCTTGTAGTTTAAGTGGCCGTGAAAAGTCGGAGGCCTCTTGATAATTATCAAATATTCAATGTATGGATCATAGAGTGGAGGTGGGGTGGGGTGGGGGGTGTAATCACTTACTACAGTGACCTTTTTTATTGAATGATTTAATGTAAGTGATGGACCATTGAAAACTGAAACACTAATGTAATAAGTTAAAGGGGGCATGTAAGTGCAATGGAATTTTTTATTGGGGGACCGCGGAATTTGATATATATTCACGTCATACTTCAAAAAATACTTGTCCATTTGTAAATAATTAGTGGTAATTAATCCTGAAATTCCCATTTTTTTTAAATCTGAAAACATTTTGTGTATACATATTTTGATCTTTCAGATGAAATCTCTTTAAAGGAAGCCCACGCCAAATCTGGACATCGCAACATTTTTTTATTTTTTATTTGCTTGGAAACAAAGACCGAAAAAATGAAACAGTCAGCCAGAAATAATAAACTGGCTATAATTCCACTAAGAAACCTATCAGCTATTTTGAGATTGGTCAAAATAAAAATCTGACGACATGGAGTTGTTTAAAAGACACAATGACTCGTCCTACCCCGTGTGGAGCTAACATTACTCTTAGGGTTTTATTGTGAGAAAATATCAAGCTTTGAAAATATTCAAGGATTTTTTCTTCCATTGTTTTCTAAACTCAGAGAGTCAATGATGTGAGTGATGCGTTCCATTCTAATATATGTTAGTGCTCAAACACTTTCATAAATTACATCAATTAAGTGATTTCGTGTAGCACATCGCTTTCATATAGTGTCAGCTCACTTGGACCCCATCGAAGCTTTTAGAGCATGTACGACGTTGCGTTGTTTGAGAGCCACGCAGCCAAGCTAAAGAATCAGTCGTACGACTATCTCCTGGACGAAGACGTGCGGCTCATGTGGAAGATCTACTCCGTCGTCTGCTTCGTCTACATGCCCATCATTCTCATCATGAACGCTTACGTCATGTGGGGTATCATACTGTACCGGGGCTTCTGGTCGAACAAGAACTATTGGATCTTTAGTTTCTGCATAGCCGACTACGTCATGGGCGGACTCTGTGTCCCCATGCAGGCCTTCAGCCACATGTCGAGCACGTGCGGCCTCGTACTCGCGGGGAAGCTGCTGTGTCTGTCTCGGATAGCGTCTGCCGTGCTGGTCGGAGTCGGGTCCTTGTACACTTTGTTGTTTTTCACGCTTGACCGCTTCGTGGAGATCGCGTGGCCCGCGGGGTATCGAAAACTGGTGACGACAAAAATGACGATGTTCGTCATTTATCTCGTCTGGTGCCACGCTCTGATCTGGGCCCTCCTGCCGCTGGCCGGATGGAACCGGTTCGACCGCACGCTGTGGCCACTCGTGATAAGGTGCAATTTTCATGTGGCTCTGCCCGACAACTACATCTTCATCACATACATCCATTTCGCGGTGTGCGTGGTGGTCTCCATCATCGCGTTTTTAAGCATGATTGTTTCCATCCGGTGGCAGATCGCCGTCTTCAGGAAAACCGTCTCGTACTTCACGTTCGATCAGTTCAACTTCTTCCTGGATCGGGTAGACTTTGTGAAGATCATCTTCTGGATTTTCGTCTGCTACATCATCACGTGGATACCTTTCCTGGTCGTTGTGCCGCTCGGCTTCTTCCGCCCGATCTCAAAGAAAACGGACGAGGTCATGCAGATCGTTCTGCAGCTCCTAAATTTTACCAACTCCCTGGTGCACGTTCCTATTTACATACATTTCCGAAGGGAGTATGAAGAAGTCGTGAAGACGCTGCTGAGAACGCACCCGAGCCGATGGATAAAGCAGCTCGCAAGACTTAACGATGAGATGATGCTGGCCAGGTACTCCCAGGAGGCCTCCACGCTGGAAGGCCAGATCTTCCCGAAGAAAGACTGTCTGGCAGACGCCATCAAGGACACCATGGACGACTTCCGCACCGAGATGAAGTCGTACGTTTATGTCGGGGAGGAGAGCGGGATGCCGACAGTGAGGACCATCCCGCCGTTGACTTCCTTGCAGGTGCAGGCAAAAGCTCTGGATGACAGTTGGATCGGGACGATCGTCGGCCGGTTCACTTCACAGTCGACCACAATCTTACCGAATCTGCCGAAAAAGGAGGTGAAGAGCGCAGAGCCTGAGACGACGCCGCAGCCGCCCCCGCCCGCTGTCGTCACAGTTACCGAAGTAAAGAAGCCAGTGGAGCTGTATGTTAGAACAAGCTTGGGCACGTGGGTATGAGCGTTCATCGGTTACGAATGAATGATTGGCGCAAAATGGTCATTCAATTAAAAGTATGTTATTGAAAAATGTAAATGTGTTTTATTTTCTCGTTGCTTTTGTTAAATCATGGGGACAAGATGGTGTGGTTGGGTTGAGGACTAACCTCATGGGGACAAGATTGTGTGGTTGGGTTGAGGACTAACCTCATGGGGACAAGATGGTGTGGTTGGGTTGAGGACTAACCTCATGGGGACAAGATGGTGTGGTTGGGTTGAGGACTAACCTCATGGGGACAAGATGGTGTGGTTGGGTTGAGGACGAACCTCATGGGGACAAGATGGTGGGGTTGGGTTGAGGACTAACCTCATGGGGAAAAGATGGTATGGTTGGGTTGAGGACTAGCCTAATGGGGACAAGATGATTTGGTTGGGTTGAGGATTAACCTCATGGGGACAAGATGGTGTGGTTAGGTTGAGGACTAACCTCATAGGAACAAGATGGGGGGGTCGAGGGATAGGACTGACCTCATGGGAACAAGATGGTGCAGACGATGGATAGGACTGACCTCATGGGAACAAGATGGTTTGGTAGGGTTGAGGACTGACCTCATGGGGACAAGATGGTGCAGTCGAGAGATAGGACTGACCTCATTGGGGACAAGATGGTGGGATCAAGGGATAGGACTGACCTCATGTGGACAAGATTGTGCGTTCGAAAGCTAGGACTGACTGGATCAAAATGGTCATTCAATTAAAAGTATGTTTTTGAAAAATGTAAATGTGTTTTATTTTCACGTTGCTTTTGTTAAATCATGGGGACAAGATGGTGGGGTTAGGTTGAGGACTAACCTCATGTGGAAAAGATGGTATGGTTGGGTTGAGGACTAACCTAATAGGGACATGATGATTTGGTTGGGTTGAGGACTAACCTCATAGGAACAAGATGGTGCTGTCGAGGGATAGGACTGACCTCATTGGGACAAATTGGTGCGGTCGAGGGATAGGACTGACCTCATGGGGACAAATTGGTGCGGTCGAGGGATAGGACTGACCTCATTGGGGACAAATTGGTGCGGTCGAGGGATAGGACTGACCTCATGGGGACAAATTGGTGCGGTCGAGGGATAGGACTGACCTCGTGGGGACAAGATGGTGTGGTCGGGTTGAGGACTAACCTCATGGGGACAAGATGGGGTGGTCGAGGGATAGGGCTGACCTCATGTGGACAAGATGGTGCGGTCGAGAGCTAGGACTGACATCATGGGGACAAGATGGTGCAGTCGAGGGCTAGGACTGACCTCATGGGGACATGATGGTGTTGTTGTGTTGAAGACTAACCTCATGGGGACAAGATGGTGTTGTTGTGTTGAAGACTAATCTCATTGGGGACAAGATGGTGGGATCAAGGGATAGGACTGACCTCATTGGGGACAAGATGGTGCGGTCGAGAGATAGGACTGACCTAATGGGGACAAGATGGTGTGATCAAGGGATAGGACTGACCTTATGGCGACAAGATGTTGCGATCAAGGATAGGACTGACCTCATGGGGGACAAGATGTTGTGATGAAGGATAAGACTGACCTCATGGGGGGACAAGTTGGTGTGAACAAGGGATAGTACTGACCTCATGGGGACAAGATAGTGCGGTCGAGGGATGGGACTGACCTCATGGGGGACAAGATGGTGTGGTCGAGGATGAGCGCTAAGCTCATGTGGGGTGGGGGGAGGCAATGGGGTGGAAATAGATAACCTCATGGAGCAGGATGGTGTGGAAGGGGACTACCTTTATTTTAAAGAACAAAGATCTAGCACCTAGGCTAACTGGCAGCCAAGTGTTGTTACTATATATAAATAGAATACATCCCTACACGGTCCAATTAAATCTATCACACAATACATGCCCTCTTATAATATAATGGGTATGTACCCCTTAGTAAAGTTATGATATATGATATTTTCCCATTAAATACCAATCTATAACTAAAAAAGGGGTGGGCTAGAAGTTCAGGGAGGGGACGGACAAAATAAAAAAAAAGATTAAAAGATACAAAACATAAAAAATAGTTGAAATTGACTCAATCAGCTCAAATAGAGATGGAATCGAATCCACGTCTAGAATTTCGGATGCGGTTTGGATCGGTAATAACTTACGAAGTCCGGGTTCAGTTCCTTTCGGTAACAACTAAAGCACGGGTTCAGTTCGGCAACGACTTAAGCACGGGTTCAGTTCGACAACAACTAAAGCACGGGTACAGTTCGGCAACAACTAAAGCACGAGTACATTTCTGCAACCACTAAAGCACGGGTACAGTTCGGAAATAACTAAAGCACGGGTTCAGTTGGACAACCACTAAAGCACGGGTACAGTTCGGAAACAACTAAAGCACGGGTACAGTTCGGCAACAACTAAAGTACGGGTACAGCTCTGTAAAACAACTAAAGCACGGGTTCAGTTCGGAAAAACCAAAGCACGGGTTAATTTCGGCAACAACTAAAGCACGGGTTCAGTTCGGCAACAACTCAAACACGGGTTTAGTTCGGAAAAAACTAAAGCACGGGTACAGTTAGACAACAACTAACGCACGGGTTCAGTTCGGCAACAACTAAAGCAGGGGTTCATTTCGGAAACAACTAAAGCACGGGTTCAGTTCGGCAACAACTCAAACACGGGTTCAGTTCGGAAACAACGAAAGCACGGGTTCAGTTGGACAACCACTAAAGCACGGGTTCAGTTCGGAAACAACTCAAACACGGTTTCAGTTCGGAAACAACCAAAGCACGGGTTCAGTTGGACAACCACTAAAGCACGGGTTCAGTTCGGCAACAACTCAAACACGGTTTCAGTTCGGAAACAACTAAAGCACGGGTTCAGTTGGACAACCACTAAAGCACGGGTTCAGTTCGGCAACAACTCAAACACGGTTTCAGTTCGGAAACAACTAAAGCACGGGTACAGTTAGACAACCACTAACGCACGGGTTCATTTCGGAAACAAATAAAGCACGGATACAGTTGGACAACCACTAAAGCACGGGTTCAGTTCGGAAACAACTAAAGCACGGATTCAGTTCGGCAACAACTCAAACACGGGTTTAGTTCGGAAACAACTAAAGCACGGGTACAGTTGGACAACCACTAAAGCACGGGTTCAGTTCGGAAACAACTAAAGCACGGGTTCATTTCGGAAACAACTAAAGCACGGATTCAGTTCGGCAACAACTCAAACACGGGTTTAGTTCGGAAACAACTAAAGCACGGGTACAGTTAGACAACCACTAAAGCAAGGGTTCAGTTCGGCAACAACTAAAGCACGGATACAGTTCGGCAACAACTAAAGCGCTATAGTTCGGAAAAAACAATAGCATGGTTTCAGTTCGGAAACAACTTAAGCACGGGTTCAGTTCGGCAACAACTAAAGCACGGGTTTAGTTCGGAAACAACTTAAAGCACGGGTTCAGTTCGGAAACAACTAAAGCACGGGTTCAGTTAGGCAACCTCTAAAGCACGGGTTCAGTTCGGAACCAACTAAAGCACGGGTTCAGTTCGGAAACCACTAACTTAAGCACGGGCTCAGTTCGGCAACAACCAAAGCACGGGTTTAGTTCGGAAACAACTTAAAGCACGGGTTCAGTTCGGAAACAACTAAAGCACGGGTTCAGTTAGGCAACCTCTAAAGCACGGGTTCAGTTCGGAAACAACTAAAGCACGGGTTCAGTTAGGAAACCACTAAATCACGGGTTCAGTTCGGCAACAACTAAAGCACGGGTTCAGTTCGGAAACAACTAAAGCACGGATACAGTTCGGCAACAACTAAAGCACTACAGTTCGGAAAAAACTAAAGCATGGGTTCAGTTCGGCAACAACTTAAGCACGGGTTCAGTTCGGCAACAACCAAACCACGAGTTTAGTTCGGAAACAACTAAAGCATGGGTTCAGTTCGGAAACAACTAAAGCACGGGTTCAGTTAGGCAACCTCTAAAGCACTGGTTCAGTTCGGAAACAACTAAAGCACGGGTTCAGTTAGGAAACCACTAAATCACGGGTTCAGTTCGGCAACAACTAAAGCACGGCTTCAGTTAGGAAACCACTAAATCGCGGGTACAGTTCGGCAACCAGTGAAGTTCGTAGCGTTTCTTCGTTAGAGCAGATTAAATCAGTTTGGTTTGAAATAAAATACAAGATATATTACAGTTTTATAAACACATGCGTTTAAAACAGCAATACACAAATGTACTACATTTTCTTGACCTATGACACTCATGGGTGCCCGCCGGGGGGGGGGGGGGGGAAAAATTTTAAACAAAAATAGACAAAAAATGTATTAAAGGGAAAATAAAAGAAAATTAACTAAATTTTATAAACACATGCGTTTAAAACAGCAATACACAAATGTACTACATTTTCTTGACCTATGACACTCATGGGTGCCCGCCGGGGGGGGGGGGAGGGAAAAATTTTAGACACAAATAGACAAAAAATGTATTAAAGAGAAAATAAAGAGAATGTAACTAAGCTGACGTCCTGTCCGTTCGTTCACCATGCAAATATGCTACAGTAAATTAAAACTACATTAAAACATTACTAAAAGTTTTTTGCCCCCTCCCTGGAATGGAAAGTTAATCGATTTTTTGCACCCCCCGCCATAAGTTTTCTGCGGGCGCCCATGATGATACACTGGGATTTATTGGGATTTACAGAACTACAAATAAGAGCGTAAATCGCTAAAAAAGTTTTAAAAAATGACTGAAAAATACATTTATATTGAGCTAAGATAACATACGATTCTTTTATTGATAAGGATTGCAAATTGTTCGTGTCTAATTAATCTATTTTAAAGCTTTATCGCAGTCCAACACTTTTTATTATTTAATTTTTATTGATAACAATAAATGGAAAAGTGTTTAATTTCAATTTAAATATAAATTTACTACACATAAATAAATATTCTTACAAAGGCAAACATTTTTTGTATCTAGAACAATATAAACACAAGACACCTAAAGCATTTTAGTGAGTCCGTATGTTAATTTAATTAGTTTTGATAAGAAATAGATTTTCAATAGATTCGTTCGATCTGGTGCGCACTCAGCGACTTTGAAGTTCGGGTTTGTCTCGGGTCCCTCGTCAGCAGGGTTCGTGTTCTGCTTGTTTGGTCGTTTGATTCGATTACAATCTCTAATTTCAAATAGCTTAAACCTAGCTTCCAAAATCCAAATTATAATCAAATTCAGTTTAAGCTAAAAAAAAAAAAAAAATTTAAATAATAAAAATAATTTAAAAATTGCAGTTTAAGGTTGTCATATCACTTTGTTTTCAATCCAACCATATCAACCTAACAATATCAATCCAACCATATCAACCTTACAATATCAATCCAACCATATCAACCTTACAATATCAATCCAACCATATCAACCTTACAATATCAATCCAACCATATCAACCTTACAATATCAATCCAACCATATCAACCTTACAATATCAATCCAACCATATCAACCTAACAATATCAATCCAACCTTATCAACCTAGCAATATCAATGCAAACTCATCAATACATACATATCAATACAAAAATATCAATGCATTTTTTTTTTGCGCAGCGTTGTTCTTGATTTGATCCATTCATTTCTTTTTGTTTGTGCGTTCAATGATGCGGCAATCGGATTGATGTTTGGTGCGTTGTTTGTTGTTCAAAAGCTGGGATAGTTCAAGTGTTTCATTATTTTGACAAGAGCGTTCCTTCAGAACATTCTTAGTCACTGAGCGGAGAGCAGTTTATTGAATCCTGTTGACACAGATGAAACAAGCGATTGAGCTATGGTGGTGTTTTGTTGCCCACATGAATGCGACTGGACAGTTGAGTAGCTCTATTATAGTTTAGTTCAAGTACTTAGAATCTTTCGCATTTTCAAAGTTAACACACGAATGTAATAGAATGTAAAGTACCAAAAAGAGCAGTTTGGCCTTTATATGAATGAAGGCAGTGGCAATTTGAGTTGTTCAGACATAATCACTTTTAATAGCTTTAATGATTAAATTCCGTCATAATCACTGTTAGTAGATTTAAAGATTAAATTATGTCATAATCACTTTTAGTAGATTTAAAGATTAAATTATGTCATAATCACTTTTAGTAGATTTAAAGATTAAATTATGTCATAATCACTTTTAGTAGATTTAAAGATTAAATTATGTCATAATCACTTTTAGTAGATTTAAAGATTAAATTATGTCATAATCACTTTTAGTAGATTTAAAGATTAAATTATGTCATAATCACTTTTAGTAGATTTAAAGATTAAATTATGTCATAATCACTTTTAGTAGATTTAAAGATTAAATTATGTCATAATCACTTTTAGTAGATTTAAAGATTAAATTATGTCATAATCACTTTTAGTAGATTTAAAGATTAAATTATGTCACAAGTGGTTAATTTTCTAATCAAATGCTATCTCACTCTCCAATCTCTCTCCATCCTTCTCTCTCATATCTATACCTCGCTCTCTCTTTCTCTCTCTCTCTCTCTCTCTCTCTCTCTCCCTCTCTTTCTACATATATTTAACCCTCTACCTCTCCTTCCCTCTGTTTGCCTTCCCCTTTCTCTCTCCTTCTCTTTCTCTCTCCCTCCCTCAAGCACCCTACCCTCTCTCTTCCTCTCTCTCCCTTCTCTATCCTCCTCTCAACCCTCTTTCCTCTCAACCGCTTTCTATCTCTCCTTCCTTCTATCCCTCTCTCACACACAATGCACAAACACTCTTAGAAAAGCAATTCCCTATTTGTGTCCCTCATCCTGTCCACGTTGTCTTACAGTTCTCTCCCTCATCCTGTCCACTTGTCTTACAGTTATCTCTCCCTCATCCTGTCCACATTGTTTTACAGTTATCTTTCCCTCATCCTGTCCACATTGTTTTACAGTTATCTCTCCCTCATCCTGTCCACTTTGTCTTACAGTTATCTCTCCCTCATCCTGTCCACTTTGTCTTACAGTTATCTCTCCCTCATCCTGTCCACTTTGTCTTTCAGTTATCTCTCCCTCATCCTGTCGACTTTGTCTTACAGTTATCTCTCCCTTACCCTGTCCACGTTGTCTTACAGTTATCTCTCCCTCATCCTGTCCACTTTGTCTTACAGAGCTCCCCCACGGCACAAAGTCGAATGTTGAGTATTTATTCTCATGAGCGGTTATTCCAAACTTTGTTCAGTCATTTTATATTGCACATAACATTAATCTTATCGCTATCAGGGTATGTTTAGTCTGAAAAGTTTATATTCTATGCAAGTATTTGTGTTGGAATGTCGTATTTTGGGACCCCTACATCATTGCTTCTTCTTAGTAATCATTTTGGATTTTAAAAATGCACTCAATAGCCAGTATTGGCCATCTTTTACCATCATTGTTTAACATTGACCGGTTTTGGCCATCTTTGGCCATCATTGTTGAACAATGGTTATTATTGATCATAATTGGGCATCTTTGTTCATCACTAGCCACATTTGAATTTACTGTTTGTCTGATCGGACACAGAAATCAAAGCTACAATTCAGAACCCAGTCCCAGAGCCCCCCATAAAAGAGCCTACCGTCCCAGACCCCCCCCGTCCCAGAGCCCCCCGTCCCAGAGCCACCCGTCCCAGAGCCACCCGTCCCAGATCCCCCATTTGAAAGCGTGTTACTCCAGTCCTGATTCAACCCATGCCTGCACATTTTTATGTTAGTTCTTACTTTATTTGGTTTTTTAGAGCCACACAAGTCAACTTGCCTAACCAACATATCCCATTTTCGTATGTGCCACTTGCAAACTGGTCTGAACCCAGTGTGACTGATACATTGCTGATCAAGAGAGAAAGCTGTCAAAAGATGTACGGACTTAATAGTAAATAGCTTTAGGTCTTTTTCGAGACGAAGCCTCGTGCATATAATAATACTCTCTAAGACTCATCGAAAACTCCACGATGAATTTGTCTTCCCTGAACCACAAGAACAAGCTGTCCACATACCTGCTGGATGAGGACCTCAGGTTTTACTATGGCCTACTAATGATCTACTCCGGGATACTTGCACCTCTCATTGGCATAGTCACCAGCTTCACATATTGGGCCATCGTCCTCTACCCAGGTTTCAGATCAGGGTACTACTACATCTTGGGGAGCATAAGCTTCGCAGATTTCCTGACCGGAGCGTACTGCCTGCCAATGTACGTCCTGTCGTGCCACCCCCATACCAACATCCTGGTCTTTGGAACCAAACTGGCCTGCCTGGCCAGACTGACGTGCCTCGAGCTCGCGGGCGGGGCCTCCATCGTCTGCATGTACCTCTTGACCGTGGACCGTTTCATCGCCGTGATGAACCCAAGAAAGTACTCCAAGATCGTGACCAATAGGAAAGTGTTGAAAGTGATCGTGTTCACGTGGCTGCTGGCGATGCTGTGGTCGTCCCTGCCCATGATGAGCTGGAACAGGTACGATGCGCACATAGAACTCCTGGACCGTCGATGCTACATCCACCGATCCCTCCCGGAAACGTACGTCTTCATCCTGGTGTGCAAGGTGCCTGCGTTCCTGGGCATTGCCACCCTCTTGTCGGCTTGGTTTGTATGCGCAACGCTGTGTCATCAGAAAACGTTCAAAAAGAACTCTGACACATTTTCCCCGGAGAACTGCATAAAAACTGAAGATCGATTTAGATCAGTTGCCGTGACGTTCACTTTGCTGTTGATGTTCGTCGTTGTCTGGGGGACGTACATCTTGATCGTCCCACTGGAGTTCGTCCAGCTGTTCAACAGGAAGCAGAACGAGCTGCTGGTCGTCTCATCGCACCTGCTGGTGTTCAATTTTGCCTTGGTCAAGCCGGCCGCTTACGTTTTACTGCAACAAGAGTTCAGGCAGGTCATCAAGGTTATGTTAACCACCTGCCCCTGTCGTTGGAGAGCCCGGCTCTCGAAACTGCACGAGGAGCGCTACACGATCAAAATTGATTCACGGATGGAAGAAGCCGAGGCGCAGATTCATAAGCTCGTCCCGACCCTGTCTGAGACGTTTGATATGGGTGGAGAGGTCAATCAAATAGCGCTGTATAGCCGTGCCTATAAGGAGTCTGTCAAAGGGGATCACACCAGCCTGGCCAGTCATAGATCAAGCGATAGGAGTTTAAAAGCAATGTTCCGAAGAAAATTGTCATCGCTTTCCTTAGGCAGAACCTTTTCGTTTACCAGTAATAAAGTGAACGAAGAAGACAAGACGCTGTCCACGTTCACCATCAACAGCCCGGTGACTGAGAGAGAATCGCTGGCCAGTAGAAAGAGAAGACTCAATTTTGGTTCCAGCGTCGACAAGCCCACCGATAAAGCCAGCTTTGACTTTATTGCGAGAGATGCGTCCGTGTCCAATTCCAGTAGGTCATCCAAGGACCCGATGTCATCCTCCGGTCGCCCCATATTAAAAAACAAAGAACGAAGTCCTCACGGCTCCTTGCCCAGCAACAACAGCAACTCTGAGCTGTACAGCAGCCAGCCCGGAACCGATGACACCAGCAATACCTCCGCCGTCGCTAGGCAAATGAAGGCGTTGGTAGAGACGCTCAAGCGGCACAATCCGGTAGCCGGGTCATTCACTAAGGTCAAGTGGCACCCGGATACGGTCTTCATATATAAGGAATCAGAGGAAGCGGTTACACGGGAAACGGAAGTGTGATTTTTATCTTTTTTTTAAAAATATGGCGATGGTAGGAAAACAAGAAATGAAAGAATGTACCTCTGACACAGTGAGAATGGAAAACATGGAGTGGGGTGGGGATAAATGGAGTGGGATGGGGATAAATGGAGTGGGATTAGGGTAAATGGAATGGGATGGGATAGATTGTGTGGGATGGAGAGCATGGAGTAGAATGGACATAAATGGGAGGATAAAACATGACACACTATGGGCTGACTAACGGATAAGCTGATGGTTAAAGAAGAGACTATGACCAAGAGAAGTAGAGAGGAAACAAGATAAAGCAAGTGAGAGAGCGAGAGAAAAAGAGAAAGAGAGAGAAAAAAGAGAGCGAGAGAGAATCGTGTATTTGTGCGTGTGTATGTATGTGTTGGTTGGTGTTTGCTTTGGGTCACGTGAGCATTAGTATTTGCAAGTGTGTGTGTTGTGTATGTGTGTGATAGAGAGACGGAGGGAGAGGGGGAGAGAGAGGATAATAGAGAAGGTAAGAGAGAGGATGAGAGAGAGAGAGAGAGAGAGAGAGAGAGAGAGAGAGGGGTGGAGTTTTTAAAAAAATTAATAAGAAATTAAATAGTTCTAAATCTTTGAGCTCAATTATATTTTATTTTTATTCTCTCGATTTCTTGTCTAAGCACGTGCCAAATTAAACAAATAAAACCCAATTGACATTGTTCTACCATGGGTCGTACATGGCTTTGTTTTTTTTTTGTTTTTTTGTTTTTTTTTGCTGTCAACGTCACTGAAATAATTGTGATGCTTATTTCACTTTGAACATCTGAGAACCGAATCAACAAGTCTGTATTTCGTCTGCTTTTCTTTCCACATTTGCCTTAAAAACCAACCGAACCCTGCAGTCATTACATCATTTGTCTCTGGGTAGTAGTAACATTTTTTTTAGAATGGGAGTTCCCCTCAGTTATGACGCTTTCGAAATTCTGAGAAATTCATTAATCGTTCGTCTGAAAGACGCGTTGAAGATGTAGTACACGATGATGTGCACGGACGAATTGAACGTCTGTGTGAAGGACGTCAGCTTAAGGAATATCAAGAAGAGCTGCTCCTGAGCGCGTCCGTAGTAAATGTCCGGGAAAACCCGGAGCAGGACGACCACGGTGAAACGGATGGAGTTACAGAGAAAGCACAGCATCGCTAGAATCAGAACTGTCTTGACAACGTTTCCGTTCTTTCCCGAGGCACGTCGGGTACTTCCGGTGCGTTTTTTAAAGGAAGCTGGACCCTTTATCGTTTGCTTCAAGTCCGGTGATTCGATGGTTCCTCGGGAAATCCCGGTTTTCTGAAACTTTGATGAGCGCCTGAGTCCAATGATCATGATCTGCGTGCTGACGAGAACGATCGCTAAGCAAAGGGCCGCCTCCAGCAAGTGGACGAACGTGTTCAGAAAGAGGTCGACTTCCGGTCTGTTCACGGTGAGGGCCAATACGACTCTTGTTGAGTTCGTCCTAGGGTCGAGCTGACTTTCGAGCCTGCTAGACAAGAAATGGGGCATGTACATCCCGACGTTGAAGATGAACAGGCAGATGATGGTGATCGTCGTCCTCTTGATGGTCATGAAATCTTTGAAACGGAACGGAAGCGTGACGCACAGACACCTCTGGACGGTGATGAGTGCCGTGGTGGAGGTGGAGATGTCGTAAAACATGGCGCTCGGGTACGCAAGGACGAACTCCAAGGCGTCCAGGTCTATGTACAAGGTCACCTCGCTGGCTCTAGAAAGGGAGGTTATCGAGATGATCATCCCGAGCGCCACTGAGCTGAAGTCGGTCAAGGCCAAGGAGAGGAGGCATAAGGTCACGCAGTCCTTGACCCCTTGTTTGAGAAAGACGAGGACGGTGACGATGTTGGTGACGCACCCGAAGGCGCCGATGAAAGCGGATATGACGACCGGGATCGAGTCACGGGAGCTCGACGTGACGTCAACTGATATCGGAGTTGTCAGTCCTTGAGAAAAAGAGCCATGTGAGTATTTGTGTAAAGCTTGGGTCACGTTGAAATAGTCGGCTGTGGTTGGCGTGGGCTCCGTGGTGGAGAGGTCTTGAAGGGGATTGGTGAAGTAGGAGACGTTGTCGAATGGTTGATGCGACTCCGCCATGTTTTGAGATTGTCTTAGCATGAAAACTCTGTAAACTAGCTTGTAAGCTTGCTCAACAATCATTGCATTTTAGCTGTTGGTTCACCATTTCGTCTGGTAGGGATGAGTTTGTCTTTTGTTACCATCTTAAAGTATGAATAACATTCGGTCAAAGTTGTTTGTAATATACATTTAAGTTGTTTGTTATACAAGTGTACGTTGTTTGTATTATGCATTGTTATTAGATTTGTTTTCCACGTCAACCCTGTAAGTTTTATTGCTTATCAACTTGTAACTTAAATATTGGTTAAACGCGCACATTAAAATTGATAAACAGTGATTTAAAGCATGCTGAATGAAGAAGATTGTGTGGTTTCGGCAATACTGGAAGTACAGCAATGCTGGCAGCTGGGCAATGCTGGTAGCTCAGCAATGCTGGTAGTTTGGCAATGCTGGTAGTTCGGCAATGCTCGTAGTTCGACAATGCTGGTAGTTTTCTTGGATCACTCTTTATTTTTCCCATGGCGACTCCTTTGACATGAAAGTAAACTGGGGAAAAAAGAAGAAGAACGTCTGAATATTCAAATATTTTGTTCAAAGAAATCTTACAAAAGATGCACAGATGCTTTAAATATGTTTACATAGAGCTTTCTATGGTCAGTGTTTAACAAGCAACTTAGCTAAAATGATTTTAAACATCTACTCATCATAAGACATAATGTTCTATGTAACAAAGGCACTAACGCTACCAGATGGCGCTGTTTTCATTAAAATAATTCCCGACAATTGCGCTTCATGAGATTCTTTGAAATACCGCATGTGCGTTTGGTAATATTTTCTTCTCTTTACGGAAACAGTTGTGGATGTAATGTGGAATAAATCTGTGGTGTAAAAAGGGCGTGGAACATTAACAAATGAATATAGTTCAGGGACAGTGTCGAAGGGTGTAGCACTAATTGGGAATAAAGTGAATGCATTGTAAAGTAGCTTAAGTAGATGGCGAGCTCATACACTGCGACCACCATTGTTTGGCGGGCTATAGCTAGTGTGGTACATAATTCTATTTGATGAGCCTTAGTCATTAAGCGGGGGTGTCCGAAATTGATGAGTTTTTTGAGACAATATGCAGGTCATATTGCTTTCTTGCTAAGATAACTGGATTGTTCAGCGCCCAAAGTCTTCTTCTATGTGCCCCCACTGTGTGCCCCCACTGTGTGCCGCCAATGTGTGCCACCACTGTCTTACCTAGTCACGCTTGATAAAAGCAGTTTCTGAAATTGGACAGATTGCATTTTTTTTGAGGCACTTACTAATAGAAACTTCTTAATTTGTGGGGAATTTGTAAACAATGAAAGACTGCGTTCAAGCTTTGTAAAGGAAATAGGAGACAAGGTTTGTGGCAGCTTGAAATAGAAAGGCAGGACAGTAAAAGAAGAACGCTACAACTAAAGGCCTCCCTCGGCAGACGGGCCAAATGAAGAAACAACAAGAACTAGAATGTATTTAAAAAACTTAAATGTTTGCCTTATTTGTACCAGTTTTCGCGGACATTACACGCAAAAATGTTCTGGGAAATTTAGTGCGCAGCCCTATCAAGGAATGTGTCCTTAAGACAAAGTAGCTGATTTAAATATAAAGGAAAATTTATCATCTCACGAAATGTAATTTTTAATAACCACACAAACAGATTCTATTGTAAAAAAGCTAGTTATGTATGTGGTTAAAATCCGATGTTAGAAAAAAAAGAGCAAAACCTTATCTATTGTGAACATGTCTGGTATAGCGACTGATTGTGAACATATCTGGTGTAGCTACTGATTGTGAACATAGCATGTGTAGCTACTGATTGTGATCATGTATGGTATAGCTACTGATGGTGCCCCTGCGATGGCAAGTAAGAGAGACTTACGTGAAAAAATAACAGAAGACGATGCCATTATCTCGCAAAATATACGGATCATGAAATATCATTGCAAAGTACATAGAGACAATGTATGCTCAAAAGTGTCAAGACGGATAACGTCATGCAGATTGTCGACTGGGGAACCCGGAGCTGGACGACCATGGTGAAACGGATAGAATTACATCACTAAGATCAGAACAGAAAAGCATCGACAGGTTGGAGGCGGTCTAGCGACGGGCAGCACGCTTTGTCATGAACCGCTACAGAAACACCGCAAGTGTTGGCAGCATGCTAGAAACGCTGGGCTGGTCAACATTGGAAGAATGACGACGACTATCCAGGCTCACCATGTTGTACAAGATAAAAAAATGGGCTGGTCCACTGCTCCGGAATCAAACAGAAACTCGTTCATCTTCCCCCTAGACTGCGACGAAGCCCCGACAGACAGTTCTGGCTGGTAAAAACAAGAACAAAGTACAGGAGCTCCTCATTCCTGCCGAAGACAATAGGGGACTGAAACAAGCTTCCAAAAGCAACAATTGAAGCGGCTACACTCGATACATTTGTGTCTATTGCCTCCTGTATTCCATCCCCCAGTTCATAACACCACTGCTGAGTCACCCTTGCAACCAGTGAAGTATCCCATTGAAACCCATGGACAGTAACATCGCAAACCCCTCTGAAACATAAGAGCCAGAATGATCAATTCATTGATCGTGGGCCCTCAAAATAAAGAAGAAGAAGAAGAGTATTGACAACTTTGCTGTTATTTCCCGAAGCGTGCTTGGTACTTCTGGTACTTCTGGCACTTTTTGTAACGGATGCTGAACTCTTTACCGTTTGCTTCAAGTCCGGTGACATTGAAGTATGGAAACCTCGTACGTCAATGGGGTTAATCGAATAGTTATTTTATTTATTTCATTAAGTTGACCCCTTTGTAATGTCTACACTTTTTTTATGTCAAATTTTAAAAAAAAATAATATATTTTAATGTCTTTGTTAGGCTTCATGTGTTGGATGAGAAATTGTTCTGTCTTGATGTTTGCGTGCTGCTAGTGAGTTTTGAGTGTAGAAGTATTAGTATTTAAGGTTGATTTTGTTAAATAGTTGAAACTAGCTCAGTGATGGCATCGCTTGACACTGTGTTTGTAATATTTTAATTATATCTCCCTTCACTACTAGGGGGAATTCCTAGTATTTATGTAACAAATATTGAAGTTATTTGATTTAGATTTTCTTGACTTAGATTTTTTTTAAACAATAGAAATAACCGTCCATCATTGCATACGCATCTGAATTTAGTTAAGACCTCATGGCACCGGAATAAATCTAGAATTAGGGTTAGAAAATGTATCCAGAGCCTTGAAAAGAACAGAGTATACCAAACATAATAAAACATTCATGGAACTATTTTGACAAAGTCTTTCTGGCGCAAGGCCCTTCTGTGTGACAACCAGCCACCAACCTGTCCAACATTAAGATCTGCTGACAACCAGCCACCAACCTGTCCAACATTGAGATCTGCTGACAACCAGCCACCAACCTGTCCAACATTGAGAGCTGCTGACAGCAGCCACCAACCTGTCCAACATTGAGATTTGCTGACAACCAGCCACCAACCTGTCCAACATTGAGATCTGCTGACATCCCAGCTAAACAAGCACGCACTCAGCTCTAGTTATGATGGCATCCAGGGGACAGATTATTGTTGGAAACATCGATTTTTTTTAAATTTTAAATGTTTATGATTCCGAATACGAAGTCCCGACTCAACCTGATCGACTCCCCTTTCGTTGTTTTGTGGTGTCGGGTGAATATATATGTGTACACTTCTGACGTCACTTTTTAAAGAAAATACAGTTTAAAGTGGACAACAACTTCTCTTACCTTAACTACAATTTCGACTCCACAATTCGGAGTTATTTGCCCTGCTATTACTGAAATGAGTTGCCAAAGGAAGCAATTGTCAACAAAACAAACATTTATTTTTTTGGTGATTTGAACGAATTGAAATGGCAATTATAGTGTGATAAGTCTCAAGTCTCTGCGCAGAAACCGTTATGTCTATAGGAAGTTTGTAGCGATTATCTCAAATTGTGTTACCAAAATATGTTACCACCGTTTATCGTAGCATCCTAAGTACTGTATCGATTTCGACTGTTTCCGAATACTCAGATATAAAAAAAAAACATTGCTTAATACGCAGCATAGCTTTTTTTTTCTTTTTTTTTAAACCGGTTCTGAAATTATTTGTCAGTTCAATATTTGCTGCTAATTACATCAAGGTAATCGATAAAAGCTGTTTACCGTGGACAATCAGACGAGGTGTCAACTAATAATTCAATGATGTTGGTATCGATACTGTTAACAAAACTAAAGAAGAGGATTGAAAATTCATCGAATGAAGTATCGATACTGTCATAAAGAGCTCCGATATTTTTTTTAGCACTGACGAGCGCTTCACTGCCGCGGTAACATCAAACGTGCACGCAATTTTCAAACAAAAAAAAAAAAAAAAATAAAAAAATTTGCCACAAGGTTTGTTTGTAAAACAAATTTTGTTAAAGAAAAAAGAAATAAAAAAGATAACAAAGAGGATTGAAAATTCATCGAATGAAGTATCGATACTGTCATAAAGAGCTCCGATATTTTTTTTAGCACTGACGAGCGCTTCACTGCCGCGGTAAAATAAAACGTGCACGCAATTTTCAAAAAAAAAAAAAAAAAAAAATGAAGAAATTTGCCACAAGGTTTGTTTGTAAAACTAATTTTGTTTAAGAAAAAAGTAATTAGAAAGATCACGGCCATATCTTCAGTTGTAATCGCGAAGCCAGATTTGGAATCAAATAATATTTTTTTTTAAACAACG